TTTTCTGAACTGCTTGTTTTGAAGATTAACTTGGGTTGAGAATCCTATGTACTGTTTGCATAATGGCCTTCTGAAATTCATTAGAGACCTCAGGCCTACATACACATATACAACACTCAGTGTTAATGATAGATTTCATATAATTAAGACGATTCCTGCTTTGCTGTTTTAATATAAAAGTCATGAACTGAATTCCTCCACTCACTCTTGCACTTAGGGGTAATCTGGAGGCTGTTAAGATAGGACAGTAATGTTAGAATGACTCGGGTGAACTTGCCATTCCTATCTTGAGACACTATTATCCAAGGGATAAGAAAAAAACTTGCTTTGCTTTATATATTTATTCATTTCTATAATTTTGATCATACTCAAAGTAAGCTTTGTGCTTATGAGCACCTAAAAGGCCCTACAAATACAGTCTCTCCTCCCTGCCCGTGTCACCATCTCCTACTAGTCACTCACAGCTCTCTTGGTGTTCTTTGAACACACTTAGCATGTGCCCAGTTCTTGGCCTTTGTACTTGCTATTCCTTGTCTGGAACATTCTTCCCCCTTCTATATGCATGGCTCCCTGCTTGACCTCTTTATCACTGAGGCCTTCACCAATCCCTCAATTTAAATTACTATCACATCCTCTTCTGCCCATCCACATCCCTCTCTTTGCTTTAGCACTTACCACCTGACACAACTTTGCATTGTTTGTTTGTTTACTGTCTTTTTTCCATCCACTAGAGTCCATATAGCATGTATTTTTGCTTATTTTGTTCACTGTTGTATCCCCAGCATCTAGGACATTGTCTGGCACTCAAAAACTATTATGTGAATGAATAAATTAATGAACTCAAAAGAATTCACTGAGCAATTACTATGTGCCAGCTGCGAGCTGCGTGATAAATGCGTGATAAAACGCATTTAGCGTGAATAAAGAAGTAACCAGACAATTACAATAGTTGTTGGTAAGTTCTATGAAAAAGTTCTATCATTGAAGTGCTTTGAGGAGTAGAAAAAGGAGACCTAACCCCAAGGGCAGGGGCCCTGAGCTCTGAGTTTTGGGATGGGTACTGGAGAGAAGACCAGAGGGAAGAAAGCCCCTTGGCAGCCAGAGGTCTAGGAAGCAAGGCTTATGTGATGAACTGTAGCAATCACCAAAGCGTGGACTCTTCTCAAAAGCTACGCAAAGCCACTGAAGGATATTTAAGCAGAGGAAAGGTATGAACCCATTCACCTTTTAGGAAGTTCATGTAGGCAGCAGTGTGCAGAAAGGATGGGAGGAGACCAAAAGCAGAATGGCCCTTAGGTGGATGTCACATTAGCGAGGTGGTAGAGAAGGGGGTTTAACAAGAGCACAGCAAAGCAGCTGGAGGAGAGGGCTGGACTGGAGAGAGATGCGTAAGTATCCGATGGACTCAAAGTAGGAGGAGTGAAAAAATGACTCTCAGGCCCGAGTGACATGCTCTTGGTAAAGACATTCACCAACGTGGGAACTATCATAGTTCTTTAACTTACTTGCATACCATATGCTGAATATTGTATATCATCTTTAGAAATGGGATCTAGCTGGAGTGGGGGAGAACAGGAAAGAAAATCAAGTGTGCTATGTAATTTCTTACTTTGTGTACAAGTTTCTATATGAACTTTGTTTTGCACAGCTCTCCACAGTCTTTTCTGAAAGATCATGAAAACTTTGGCAGGAAGGCTTATCTGCAGATTAGTGATGTTGTCAATGCCACGCTAAAAATTTTTCAGTGACTCATTTGGTTTTTATCTTTTCAATAAAGTTATATTCATTATGCAGAATTCTTCAATGAAACGTTCTATACATCACCCAGAACTTGTATTGAAATGAGTGTATTTTAAAGTTCTAATTATAGCTGACATTTCTGGAGTTAAACTTAAGGAAACATAGCTTAATATGCTGAGATTCTATGTGTTACACCATTTTTAATTTTGAGACATATACAAAGAAATTATTTTGAAAGATAAACTAGATTAAATTTCCATCCAAATTGGTTGCATACAAAGTATATGCAAATATAAATGTGCCTGCCAAAAAATGTCTAAGAAAGGAATACTTCATTGATTAATAAAGATGAGCCAAAAAGATTATGACTCTGGTTTGGAAAAGTATTTGACTCAAAATGTTATTAAATCATGGGGATAATAATGTAATTGTTTTTGAAATCTTGAACCACTAGAACAATTGACTTTAATTATAGGAATAATGAGAAGCATTAGTTTAACTAGTGAATAATGAATTTATGACATTCTTCATCCAAGTCATTATGCCAGCTGGAAATTAAATAAATTTAAGGAAGATTAGGTAAATTAATGAATGTTTCCATGGTATATGCCTATTGCTTTATAAATGTATATTTGTACCAGAAACCATAAGATTAATCAAATGTGGACATCTTAAGGAACTGGTGGCAACATACTCTAATTTCAAAATCAATTCTTGAGCAAGGAAACTTTAATTTGTAAGTTTAAATTTAATTTCCACAATGTCACAGATATATAATAGTATTATTAATCTAAGGGTACTCAAAACACAGACATATAAGTAAAATCTTGCTCTGTAAACTAGTGTGTGTGTGTGTGTCTGTACTTCTCAAATGTACCTTGTATTCACCTCTGCCCTACTCCCAGTTCCCTCCTAGTGACAGATGACCCTCTTCTTGGCTCCCTACCATTTTTCCTGCTAGTGAGATCAAAGAAATATATGCACATTTTTGGTAGCTAAGAATATATTATTGACACCATAGTTATGAATAATCTATAAGATATACATTCACAATTCAAAATTAATGTTAAATCTTAAAAACTGCTTTTATTTTTGGAGTTTATCAGAAATAGTAATTTCCTAACACTGAAGAAAAACATTATACTTATTTTCTTTATAGCCTTCCTTAGGTTTTCCTTCAATATTGTGTTAAGATACACAACTAATATAATTGTATGGATTTCAGAGTTGTGATTAGTCTTTCTAAGTCTTCGGTTGGATGTGATCATATAACAAAGACCAAATTAGAAAATACCAGATATATTAGTCTTTAATTAAAATATTTGATGTAAAATTTGCTCTTATTTTCATTTGAAATATTCCTTTCCAGGGTTATACATCAACATAATGAAATATCCAATTTTAGTGAACAATATTTTTCAAGCTGCAAAGTTAGGTTTACACTGGGAAACAAACCTTTGTGGATTGAACATACACATTCTCAGTCTAAACATTGAATTAATGTACTTCTTGTTCTATGATTTCCTTTCTAACATCAACATTTAAGAAGTAAAATCCTCTAGAGACGCTTGAGAAAATGGAATCATGGACAATGATAAAACCCAAGCCTTTTCTTCCTTCTCAGATCTCGTATCACCGCAATCTCCAAATGCTGACCTTACTTAGCATTAACATTTACTTCCCAAACAATTTACCCAAGTGAGGAAATAATTAAACATGTTTATGTGCTACAGGGAAGGAACTAGCTGAGAAGTGGGGGCTCCGATGCGGACGCAGGGGTAATTGGTTAAAAAAGATCCCCGAGGACAGAGGCGAGGATGGATTCCAGAGTCTACCGGATGAATTTGCCTTGTCCGGGGGGAGGGACTCTTCTTCCTCTGATGCAGGAAAGAGGGTTTGCGCTGATGAGAGACAAGATGTCAAGGGAATTTATACCTGATAGTCTCTCTTTTCTCCATGAAATCTAAAGCAGGGAGAATTTTAAATAGAGGGAGTGGGATGAGTAGGGAGAATGTCTGACCACACCACTGTGCCAGGTAACAGCTCGCTGTTGGTTGAGTACACGAACCAGGAGGATATAAAGGTGGGATTGAGTGGTGCACTTCCAACAACCCAACGCTGATTACGTGAAGAAATTGTTAGTCTTCCTGTGGGATTACAGAGTAACATGGGGAACAGATTCTGTGAATGTTACTAAACATTATGTAGTTTTAATATAGAAAAAACGGATGCATGACCAATCCTTCATCTAATGACCACCCTAGCGCTTTGTTTAGTGTTACAGAGTACGAATGCAAGATGCCGATTAACCGAAATGTCACACGTTGGAAATAAGCCAGTCATTAGTTAAGTGTAATGGAATAAAGAGCTTTGACATGAAATGGTGGAGTCTGTAACTTTGCTAAAACATACCGAAATTAAATATATTTTTGAAAGAACTGGAAAAAAGTGCTTAATATTTTTACTTAAAAATAGGTATGAATAGCGAGAAATATAGCTGCATTTCTCTGTGCTCTTTCCCACTGTCCCAAAGCCATGTCTTGCTCTAAATAAAGTAAACAGAATCCCAATGCTGCCTTTGTGGTTGGAAAACTGCTCAATCTCAGAACTGCCACATTTCCATTCTGTATAAATATTCTCATTTATCTCGCTAAGCATTGTACCCTCCACCCCCACCCAGCATCACAGTGTAAGCAACAGCTGACAGCATCTTGCGTTCCCTTTTCTGGTGTGTACTAGGTGCCACAGTTGACCGTGGACTCCCCAACTTTGTAAACATGTTTTTCCGCAGGTCAATTGACCACATTTCCTAAGAGGAAGAACAGAACAAAACATATTTCTTTGTAATGCTGTTCAACTTTTTCCTTTGCAAATCTGCTTACTGAAGTTTTGCAGATGCAGAAGTCATATAACGTGTCCATTTGTTGGGAAACTGCAGTACAATTTAACTACCTCTAGCGACAACATCTTCAGCCTTCTAAATGAGATCTATGTGATAGTTTTGCAGGTATTTGAAGAAACACACGCCCTGGAACAGCAAAGATTCTTTTTTTTTTTAAAGGAAAAATCAGAATCCTACTGCATATGCTTAATGTTCTTCAAAATGTACTTCCAACTGAAAATGTTCATTTTCCTTCATGTACAAAACATCAGCATAGTTCAGTACAACAAAGAGAACCTTACAGAAAGGACAGTTTTAATTGGTCATCTAAACTTAAATAGCTACAGTATTATGTTAATTGAATTTGTTTCTTTTTTAGGGACCTCTGGGGCCTCCAGGACAAAAGGTAGAGTATAAACAACAGTATTATGAAAGTAATTATACTCTCACAGCCTAACAGCAAGCTCTTTGAGTGAAATTAGCTACTGTAAGCCATGCTGATGTCATTAGTCCGATTTGTACATTCTGCTTTCTAAAAATACAGTCATATGATGTGAGCGTTAGATTTCTAATCACCTCCGTTATTGGAAATCCAGTAAGTCCACAGCAGACTCTTTTTAAGTTGTCTGCTGAACTTGTAAGTTACTGAAGTATTAATTCAAATACTGGTGACGTATCATGACAGAATTTTAAATGTGAAGGATCACATGACATTGCAGATTGAACGCGTGGCCTCGCTCAAATGCATAATTGGCAAATGGTCACAGAACTGACCAGAATGAAGGATGTATTTGTTGCTTGGGGCACAGCATTGAGTGACCCACTGGTGTCTTTTGCTGAGGTAACATGAAAAGTGACTTCCTAACTGTCATTTCAATGTTATCCATGGTCATCGGAACTGACCATTGCATGCTGATGGAGAGGATCTAGGAGTTCTGAAATTATACCTACTCTACAGCAGTGAACATAACGATAGCAGGTAGATGGTCCTTTGCCAACAAAATATCACTAAGTCCCCATTCCCCACTAACTCCCACCCCTCGAGGGGCGGGAGGAAGGAATATTTAACCTGCACAAAACTAAAGAAAACAATTGTATTATAACAGATGGAAAAGTGATTATTCTTTATCTTTGAAATCCGTCAAAGATAGAGACTTTTTATCCCCCACGCACCGGGCAGGCATGTGGCATCTGTTGAAACATAATCCTACAAACCAAGTAAAAGCCAATGAGTTGTGAGACAACTTGTGTGTAGGAACACTTCGTCCTTCGCAATAATGTCTCTATTAAGCATGGTGTGAAATTGTAAAGCTACCCTAATCCACATACGACCAGGATACAATTACTGCTTCAGGCTTCGGTCCTTCAGTCCTTTAATGACCACTCAGTATAAGCACTGCACACATGAGGGAATTTGCCATCTCAATTTAGTTTGATTATAATTACTTTTTTTTAGTATATTTTTTAGAATAGTTTTAGGTTTATAATTACTATTTTTTCCAAAAAACTTTCTCCCATTATTATTAAAGAAATTTAATATCATACATCTCCTAAGAAAAATCTGTTTTCTAGTTCTAGACAAAGAATAAGCACATTGTATTTAAAAATGGTTTCTGCAGAGCCTGAAACCATGGGGGCTGTAATGGAGGGAAATGACATCACTGTTTGAAAATATTTGCTAATGTTTCTGTATCCAGTTAAATGTCATAGATTTTTCTCAGGTAATAATTAGCTTTCTTATTCTCAGCTCACCCATCTATGTCCAACCATTCATACTCTCCCCAGTAGGCATGTGAGTTTACAGCATGGGTCTCTCACTTAATTGTGTAACAAGTGTGTATTTTAATTACCTTTTGTTTCATGGTATTTTAGTTCATAAAATTCAAGCATTACTGCTACTGCTAGGCTTTTTCCAGGTGAAACCAAGCCTATTTATTATTAAAAGCACCAAAATTTAGAGCCATATGGCCCTCTGATAGATATGGATCTCAATTTATGTTATAAATTTCTTTAAAATCATAATATTATGGCTAAGTGGATATTTAGAAACAAGATTAAATTTTATCTCTGTAGTTTCTGGGGAAGCTTGAGGAATCTGTCTACATTATTATATAATGGAACACAATGGATAAGATCTGAAAAACATAACCTGTTAAACGTGTTTTAGCAAGGTAGAGTTATGGCTAACATAACTAATACAATATCAGTTTAGAATTGAAATATTTTATAGTTATGATATCAACTTAATTTAATCATATGTCTCCTTAGGGTTCTTTTGGAGCACCAGGAATTCCAGGAATGAATGGGCAAAAGGTGAGTTCTATAGGATATAGTATTTTTTAATATAATTTGGTGAACATTAAAATCACAAAATTACTCTAGTCAGTAATGTTAGCAGTAAGTATTAAATATATATGCTTATAAAAGCACTACATATACCTTTGAAATACGGGAGAATTATGGCACAAATGATCAAGTTAGTTTAAGTTTTAAAGACGCATTAAATAATCAGAAATTCTTTGAAAATTTTCCATTGTAAATATTTCGGATGTGTTACTTTTGATAAGTTATGTATGTGATAGAACTATATCTTTCTCGTTAGATATATATGGAATAGAAAAAATGCTATGTTTTAACTTTCATTGTGATAAAATGTACTCTAGTTTATTCTGGTCATGGTAAAATTAATATGTACTATTTCATTGTTTAATTTAAGTTATTGTCACGGAGGGAACCCATCAAAACCTTCTGGGTCCAGAAGAAAGCTCTTTTTACTATTCAGCAAAATTACAGGTTGGATAGACTTGCCAAGCTCTGGTACTTCACTTTTATTGTTCTGTTAATAAGGAGGAGACTACCCGAAGGAAAACAAATCATTGCATAAAAAAGACACCAGCACTGGCATGTTTATCGCAGTACAATTCACAATAGCAAAGTCATGGACGCCACCCAAGTGACCATCAACAGATGGTAAAGAAAATGTGTGTCTGTGTGTATATATATACACACATACACACCATGGAATACTACTCAGCCATAAAAAAGGATGAAATCATGTCCTGTAGCAACACGGATGAACTAGAGGCCATTATCCTAAGTGAAACAACTCAGACACAGAAAGCCAAACACCACATGTTCTCACTTACAAGTGGGAGCTAAACAATGGCGCACGTGGACCTTCAGATGCGTAATAGACATTGGAGACTCCAAAAGGTGGGAGAGCTGGAGGGGGCTGGGGGATGAAAAATGACCGATTGGGTGCAATGCACACTGTTCAGGGGATGGGTACACTAAGGCCCAGACTTCACCAGCACAATACATGTAACAAAACTGCATTGATGGCCCCTAAGTCTATAAAAATAATAAATAAATAATGAGGGGAAAAAATAAAGTGATAAAAAAAAACCCACACATACACATATCTATGCGCATCTGTACATTTACTCTGGCGATGTACTGACTAGCTGGACAAAGCATCTCACATCATCCCACAGATGGGTCTGTATTCTGTGCTCCCCTATTTCCCTGCCCAGCTCTTTAATCCAGAACCTCTACAGAGACCAGGAAAGCAATTGTGGCAGCCAGCACAGCCCATCACTGGGCCAGTCTACCAGGAGCAAGGGAGCTGCGCTAGGGACATTTCTGTCCCCTCAGAGCTCTTGGCCTGGCCCTCTGAAGTCCTGTGACCGCCACCTTGTCTTCCCAGGATATTTTAACTCCATGTGCCCTGGAGCAATTCTGAAATCATAAGTAGCCCAACCCTTGCAGATGGAATAACCTCCTTGTGTCCCTTTCCATCTTGTCCATCTTCTCTGCCAGTAAGACATGAACAACCACAATTTTAGACCTAGTCAGTGGCTAAAAGCATAAGTCTGCCACATTGAGGCTGTCTGAATTTTGGCAGGGTCCTAGGAGGTCCCCAGCCTCAGTTTCCTCATCTGTGAAGGGGAGACAATAGCAGCTCCTACCTAATAGAGTCAGTGTGAGGGTTAAATGAGTAACTGGCTGTAAAGCCCTTACAACTGTGTTAGATGTTATTATTAAACTTTTCTTTCACTTCATTTTAATGAAATTCTGGAAATTTGGTTAATCTATGTTTTGGAAGAGGCTCTGTTCCCAGAATTACTCAATTCCCAAGTGAAATCAGTGTTCTCGACCAAGGCTCGTGGTGTCATTTAGTCCGTACACCAAACACTGCACAGTCACCAGTAGTCCCCCACCCACGCGGCAGCTGCATCTTCCTCTTTCTAAAATGCATATCCATTTGCTTCGCAAATCCTGGTAAAGACGGAAGATTAGCTTTCTGTTTAGAACATTACAGATCACGGGGGGAAACATAAGCAAAAATTTGAAAGTGTATTCATTCTAACATGGATTTGAAAATTGTGTAACTCAAGATATTTAGAAAAAGCAAAATGCAAATATAGCATAAATGTTTTTAACATCAGTGAAAAACAAAACTTGTGTGCCCAAGGTTGATGTTTTTCTTTTTCTTCTTTGTTTCTTTTCATTTTTCACCTCTGAGACAATCATGAAAGTTTATAGAAACCTTTACCCTGAAACAAAACAACTTTAAAACTGTCACATATACTCTTTTGAAGACTGCATATTTTTTATTTTTGCAAAGGAAATATGCAATTTCCTTAGCAAGAGAAAGGAATGTGACATTTTCTTGTCCTAGTCACCAAGTTTATATTTCAAGGAAATAGATAGTCAATATTTGCAGTTTTATGTCTTGTTATACATCTTTGTGGCATTTTAAAGGTATTTTCTGAAAATCCTACGGAAACTAAATGATTTCACACTTTTATAAAGGTATCAGCAAAATGTAGTTTAAATTTGTTTTTCCTACTCCAGAGAGCTGAACCTAAAATTTTGTGTATGGAACTTCCGTTAATCCTAGTGATCATTTAACATTTGTAATATTAGCTGTATCAGTTAGGAAAATAAAGTGCAAAAAGCATGAGTCTCCTTCCCTGAGATAACAGGTCATTTAGACAGTAAAAGCAAGGTTGGCAATAGAGTAATATTCTATACTTAAAGCATATGAAATGTGTCTTCAACTCTAGAATTTGTTTTTCTAAGAAGAAAGCTTACAATGACATATTTTTAAAAAATACTATAATGTCCTTAAACTGTATAAGAAAACATTTTTTCCCACATTACAGTTTCACTTTTTCCAAAGAAGTATTTTTGATACTTAGAAAATAGTTTTCAGATAGTGGTTAAGGGAGGATATAATTTCTAAGCCATCGGAAATATGGTAAATAACAACTAGGAAATAAGAAGTTCTTTCTCTTGTGTTTGAAAAAAGAAAGAAGAGCAAACTATTTTAAGAAAATACTTTGTTTTCTATTAGAACATTTTCCATCCTTCCATCCATTCAGGTTGATGAAAATTGGTGATGGGCTGTAGCCCAATAAACTTGACAGTGACTTTATTTTTTTAATACTTATTGTTCTTTAAATTTTGATCACCTTGATTGCTAATCTGAATATCTCTTATTTTTGTAATGGCCGTCCAGTTCTTCTGATTGTATTAGGAGAAAAGACTTACATAAGCAGTGACATGGCACTAAACTCCAACCTCCCTCCTGGCATCACAACCCACTGAGGGCTAAGCATCCTTCTGTGAACAGGAGGAGGCAGTGTGGTACGGAGGACAGCGCTCTCTGCATCAGAGAGAGGATGCTCCATGCCCTCATTTGGGCAAGTTACTTAACCTTACTAAGTTTCCAGTGTGAGATGTAGAGATAGACCTTGCAGTATTAACTGGACAATGTATCTAAAGAGAACATTATATAATAAGTGCTTGATCAATGTTGCCAAGTATCTGTGATAGTATTACCATGCAAACGCTAAACCAGGGAGCAGAAGCCAGTTGAATTCATCAGAGGGAGAAAATGAATATGCAAAATTAACACATGAAGGTGGAATGTTGTCTGTCCCCTGGCTCTCCCCTCCACCCCCGAGCCAGTATGGACTGAGTAGTTGGAATGTCAGCACTTTGGATGTGGGAAAGAGAAAGACACGTCTCGTATTATTTCAAAAGGCCAGTCACCGGTGGAGTAACGTAGGAGCTGTCCCAGCCTCAGGATTCCCTGCTCTTTCATCTCCTGTGTAGCCTTTGAAGGATCCCTTTTTTCTGTGGGGCTCGAGAAGGCTTCATTTGTAAAATGAGACAACGGGCTTTACCAATTTATGTCTAAGTTTCTCAGAGTGACTGTGAGTCCACAAAAAGTCGTGCATGTCTCGTTTCCAATTCAACCAGCTTCTCGCATCCTCTGTTCCCAATCCTGAAATCTGTTGTTTCCATTATTTGGACTTGCTTCCACCAGCCCAAGCAGTTAAGGCAGGTTAAATGCAAAATCTTACCTAAAAATATAAAATGTTACCTCTTCTTCTCTGGCTAATCATATTGGACACAGAAATAATTTCTGTAATTCTCATGAGTAGGTTTTGTTGGTTTAAAGATATAATTAACATTTTATTTATGCTCATGAGTCATCCCCCCACCACACATATGTACACACACACACACACACGCAAATGCACACACAGAGAGATGTATATTTAAATATTTGTCACTCTAGAGAAGTGCAGGCTACTTAAAACAATTTTGTGGTAGAACTATTTTTTAAACTGAAGAATTCTTTAGTAAAATAAATTGCCATCTACCATTTTTATTTGTGTGTTTATATGTCAGTTCTTTAAAAATCTGCACTCTTAATAGTCTTATTACAACCCTGTATACCTTCATCTTTCTTGGCATCTATAAGATTAAAGCATGACAATAATAATTTATTTGAATGGCAATTAGTGCCCAGCACTGGACAAATGCCAGGAGAGGGAAGAGCTGGGGACAGATAAAGAGTACATAGACTAATTTATGCAGCTCTTAGTTCATATCCTTGTCTCTTTGTTACTATGAAAATCATGTTAAAGATTTTCAGGATTAAAACAAATCATTTTTGTCTACACAAGCTAGAATTTTTCTGAGGCCCCAGAGTCCTAGGGATTCTTTCCAAAGCTAAAGACAAATATCAGATGATCTTGTTTCATGTATTTTTCAAGTGCTTTCTAGAATGTATTATTATTTTTAAAACTTCAAAATATAAAGTAAAAATTAATATTAGTGTGTCACCTTGGATCTATCCTAGATAGCTATGTGATTCTTAAGTAACATTAAATTTTAATTAGTTTACAGTTATGACATTTGGAATTCCTTTTCATCCCTTACACACGGGCCTCACAGTTATTCACTGATGTTAATCTTCACAGCATACTTCTAATGGCATTTTTATTGTAAATATA